TTCCCTAAAAACAATGTCGAGGAACGGCACCTATGATACCTTCATGGAGCCACCCTTTTGGCACCTAGGCCACACTCGCTGTCATCTAGGAAGCGTATTTTTGTCCATTTAAAAGCCTATAAAGTCTCCAAATTCAAGAAAAAAATGTTAGAAGAAGTATAAATACAGAAGGAGAAAAGCTTAAAAAGGGTTCCAGACATTGAGAATCAAAGAAAACAACATGAGATTTAGGAGAGCAAATCAAAGGAGAAACATCAAGAAATCAAGGGTTTAGAGCAGTGATTAGAATAAGAAAAAGATCTTAATACAAGATTGATTCCTTTTTCTACATCTCTGTTTAAAAATCTATTGATGCACTCAATAAAAATATCTTGTTTTTCTTCTTATATTATGAGTAGATAAATCACATATTAGGGTGAATAATGTCAACTATTTGAGATCTTTTATTTCTTTTATTTGAGATTTTAGTTCTTTTATCATATATGTGTTGATTTTATTCATGAATTTAATGCTATGAATTACTTGATCAATAATTAAATAATTCTTTGAATCTTTTACGAATCACGAAGTAAGTTTTAGATATAGACCATATGGTTAAATTTGGTAATTTAGTATAAAAATGTAGAGATAATTATGCTTATGGTGGTTATATGAATTCTTAGAACAAATATTGTATTTAACTAAGATAGATTCACATGGAGATATGTGATTGAATCAGGTAAATAAAGTCAATGAAAACTAGAGAATGGTAAATTAAATACGACAAAAAGAATTCAATCGAACACTAAATTAGATTTGTGAATGTCAAATTAAGACTTAAAGGTAATCAATAGATGAAATTGTCATACCCTAATATCTCATTCAACATTTGAATCCTAAATTGATCTTTGTTTGCATATTGCTATTTCAGTTAGGAAATATATTTATATGAACAATTACAACAATTAAAATTCTTTGTTTTTCGTCAAAAAGGAATTAGAAATATTAAATTAAATATTAAAGTATAGTTTTCGTGGGAATGATCTTCTGGACTTAAAGGTCTACTATATTACTTGTTACGATGTCGTAAACTTGTAATAGAAAAACGCAACAAGTTTTTGTCGATATTAAATTGACACTAAATTAAGTACGTAGTCCTTTTGAGAACGATAATTTAATCTTGACTTTATTACTTGTTCGCGATATCGTATCCTTGTAAAAAATCAAACGATCAGGTTTTTGGGTCATTTTTGGGGACTGTTATATTAGTTTAGTTTTAGTTATTTAACGTTAATATGAATTTTTTTGCTTTATTAGTTTGAATTCTATATTAGGAAAAGTATTACAGTGTTTTATCTTCTTATTTTTAGGATCTTGCATGCAAAGTTCAAGGCACAGTGATTTTACGAAATTTGGTTTGGAAATCAAACAAACATTCAAGTTAGGAGGAAATGGACAAATAGAAGCACAACAAATAACAAGAACATATGCTAGAAAATGTATAAAATCAAGTCACAATGTAAATGCAGTATATTCAGTTATAGTTTTTGGTAATTAGAATGAGAGACTAATAGAGGAATACCCGATTCCACGAGTAGTAGAAAGAAGATCAACATTTAGGTAGGCAAATTTTCCCTTTTAAGGACGGACGTTATGAACATGTTTCAAAATGCATTACAGTTCTTAGGATATCTACTAACAATCTAAATGCTCACATCTCGAGATTATTGATATTTGTGAGATAATTGAATATTTGAGAGTTTTCAATGATGTAATTAAACTGAGGCTCTTTCATTAAACTTTGAAAGATTCAACTAGGGTTCGGTTGGGCACATTCCCACCTCACAGCATCGCGACTTAGGATAGTATGAGCTAAAGTTCTTGAATAAATATTTTCCACCAAAAAAAATTGTCAAGTTGAGACATGAAATCACTACATTCTCACAGCTTGATTCAGAGCCCTATTATGAAGCATATGAAAGATACAAAGGTTAACTTTGACAATGTCCACAACATGTGTTTCAAAAGTGGCTACAAGTCCAGTACTTCAACATTGGAATAAGTTCGACTAATAAGGCTAATGTTGACTTTGAATGAGATGGTCAATTACTAAAAGACAATGAATCAGGTATATCAAATCGTGTAAGATCTAGCATTTACAAGTGTACTATGGTGAACAAAAAAGATCAAGTGAAGAAGAACATGCAGTAATACATGCTGTTGACACATTGATAGCTATTTCAACATAACTAGCAGCACTAGTTAAAAAGGTAGATGGTTGGGCAACCAATCAAACAATGAATGCAGTTCAAGCAATTGTACCGAAATNCGAAATTCAACCCTTGCAAAGGTAATCATAAAAATGTGGATTGTAATGTGGGGAGTCCATTTATGCAGTTAGTTGATGATATAAATTACATGAAATACTATGAGAGGCAGCAAAATAATCCTTATTCCAATACATAAAATTTGGGTTGGAGAGATCACCCGAAATTTTCCTAGAAAAATACCTAGTCATCACTAGGTCTATCATATCAAAATGTACCATCGAGTTCTAATAGCCAAAAAAATAATCTTTTTATGAAAAGAAGTGTTGAATGAAATAGCAACGTCATCAATTGAAGTATTGACCAAAATAACTGAAGCATCAACTGAATTCATGCATCATATTGAGAAAAAAATTCAAATTCAAGGGTCTGCTATATAGAATTTGAAAAATCAAATTGAACAAATAGCCAAAGTACGTTTAAATAACAGCAATGGGCCATGCCAAGTGATACTGAGTTTGAGACAAACCTCAAATAGTAGGAAATGTCAATAAATGTTGTAAAATATGGGGTTGACAATCCACTTATCTAATCTCCTTCAATTACATGAAAATATGTGCTCAAAGGCTTCAAAAAAGACCAAAAGTGAAAATAGTTTTGGCAATTACTATGAGCAACGGGGTAAAACTTCCAAAAACCATAACTAAACGACGGGTAATATTGAATAGAAAGGTACCTTCTACAGATGAGGAACATTTGGGTCAGTCTAAAAAATTAGCAAAAATAATTCCAAATCAAAATTCAGACCGTCCACAAGTTAATGCAATTGCTCTTGTTGAAATGGACTACCTCATGTTCCATTTCCTTAGAGATTGCAAAAAATGAAGTTTGAAGAATAGTTTGCAAAGTTCTTAGGGGAAGTTTCATGTTAATATCCCTTTATTGAAGCCATATCTCAAATACTAAGCTACGCAAATTTTTTTAAGAAGATCTTATAAAAAAAAATGCGCTCTAAATTTGAGACCATCAAGCTAAATGAAGAGTGTAGTGCTATCTTGCAAAGTAAATACTTATTACACTAAAAGATTTAGGGAGTCTCAAAATACATTGCTCACTAAGAAATAATTATAATTTCTATCTATAGGAATTCAAGTATAGAAGAGCTAAAGGACATAACTATCTTCCTTCAACTGGCAAACGGATCAATCAAATAATCTAAAGGAGTTGTTGAGAACTTGCTCAATAAAGTGGGCAAGTTTATATTTTCAATAGACTTCGTTCTCTTAGACATAGAAGAACCGTTGGATACATCACTACTAATAGTGGATCGATCTTTCCTATCAACAATTCAGGGCTATAATGAACTTTGAAGTAGTCGACATGATGTTAAGAGTTCATGTGAGCAAGAGAAGTTCAAAATCTACACCACTACCAAGAAATAACACTGTAAAGAGAATAGTAGAAAGATTAAGGATGAAGAAACGAAAGAGCATTTAAAGTGCCAGCACAAAAAATAAGTTGGTAGAATGATTAAGAACCTCAAAGATATATATTAGGAAAAAAAAAAAAGGAAGAAGGAGCTCTTCTAGCATGGAGAATCAAAAAAGGGATTGGCAATGCTGAACAATGTCATCAAAGTTTTGCTGGTGAAATTCACTCTTGATCACCATGATAAACTCCTCTACAAGTCTAGCTAAAGACTTTAAATTAAGCGTTGATTGGAAGGCACCCAATTTTTAACCTTTTATTTATAATGATTCATGTATTTGCATTCAATGTAGTATTAGGTTGCATTAGTTTTAAATATATTTTTACTCAATTAAAAAGGTCATCATATTTACATTTAGCCTAGAAGAAGAAAAGATTATATTTGAGTCAAGAACAAGGAAAAGAGCATGCGACACATTTTCAAAGCTTCAGGGGCATAAAAAATTATTATCATACATGCCACATTCTAACTTTTAAATTAATTTTTTACTCTTATATTTAATTTATTTCATTTTTCAAAGGTACAAGGATATAAAATGAAAGGCATGCTTAACAAGCTAAAGATTGGAATGAACAAATCCAACAAGCTTACCTCCAATATCAAACAAAAATCAAAGAAGTACCTACTTTTTTTCTTCCCTACCCTTTTATGTTGCTAGATTATACTTTAAGACATTGAGGATAATGTTTACCTTAAGTTTGAGTGTGAAAAGATATTTTGCTTTTAGTTTTATTATTTATATGTGATCATGTGCTTATAGCTTTATCATTTATGAGAAAAATAAAAAATATAAAAAAAAAGAAAAAAATTGGAAATTTTTTTAAAATATTTTCTTTTTAATTTGTTTGCTCGTGTAGTTTAGGTTGTCTTCCCTAACAATGATAAATATATTTGGAACTATGTGTTAATTTACTAACTATGAATAGGATACTTCCTTAGATTAACTGATTCTTATTCATGTAAAATTTGATAATATTTGCACACATGAATTAAGTTTAGCATTATGAAATAATATATTAATTTATGAGGAAATTACAATAACTGGCCACTTTCAAAAGTACAAGTATCAATTCATATATTAAATGTTAACTTTTCCCAAGGGTGGGTCAACCAAACCAATCTAAACATTAGATTTTTGTAGTTTGCCCCATCAAAATAGTACAAGCCACTTGACCCGACCCATAAACTTGACCCGATCCAAAAAAAACAAAAAACAAAACAAAACACACATAGAACCGTGAAGAAAGCAAAAAGCATTCTGAAAGCCTACTCTCTCTCTCTCTCTCTCTCAACTCTGAAACTTTTCCATCGCCCACGATGATTTTCATTTTACAATCGCCGAACCTTGTCCCCAGTTTCACATAGCTAGTCAGTGGTGAATCTTCTCCAATTTTTGCAAGAATCGTAGCGAAGTGGTAGCTATTGACGGTTAGTTCTTGACTTTTTTCAATAACTTTGTTCTTTTTTTTTTTTTTTTTTTTTTTTTTTGTTTTTCATGGGTCTTTCGTTATTTGATACATTCCATTGTTGATTAATGAGTTTAAAAATTAATATAATTTATAGTGAGGGTGATGGGTTTTTCCTACCTGGTTTGGGGTTATTAACGGTTCAATGATTGTTCTGCAATGTTTCGTTGTTTAATTTTTTTTTTACTAATCATTCGAACCAACCATTTTATTGAAAATCCAAAATATTCAATGCACTTTGCATGTAAATTGATAAAGCTGTCATGTGAGATGTTTTCAGGGTAGAGAAGATGCAACTGAAACTTTAGACTCTTCTTCACATTGTTCTTCAAGGAAATAACGGAGCTTATTGAATATGCAACACCAACACTGTATTTCTATTTGACACGTCTGCTTCATGCATATATGTAAAAAAAAAAAAAAAAAAAAAAATTGTCTTTTACCTTGGTGCTTTTAAGATTTTCAAGTAGGATCCTGTCATTACATTCATTAGGAGTGAATAGGGACAAAATGGTCACAAACAATGTAATGAAATGTTTGGTTCTTTAATTGCTATGTTAACTGTAAGAAAAAAAGAATATTCCAAAACACACAAATAAAAGATGCAATTAAGCTAACTTAGACGTCTCGATTTGGCAATGATCAGGTATTATCCAATGAAATGTTAGTTTTTATGAATATATCATGTTTGCATTCAAGTTAATCCTTAGTCTCACATTACTAATTGTTAGCTAGATGCCAAAATGAGTAGAACGATTTTTCCCCCCGACATGTCCATTCTTGCAAGTGAACTCTCTTTGTCTTCTATATAGATATTTGTTGTTCATTATCATCTTTTTGGTTTCTTTGGAATGTAGATGCTTCATATTTTTGTTCTCCTGCACATTAAATTAATATCATTCACTAAGATATTGCTACATTATTTAATTACTAGAGTTGCACCTTTCAATGTTGGAAAACATGATGAAATATTATTTGTCTTTGTGATTTCATATATTTATTAGATTATTTTATGTACTAAGTAGACTCTTATATTATTTGCCATGTTCGTTTGTTGTTATTTGTAGATGAGTTCCTCTTCACACCAATAGAAAATTCCAGGGGAATAGTGCGTTTTGGCCTAGGTAAGTAGCACCAAATATATATCAGTTGTCCTCGACAAATTCGATGCTCAGCAGAAGACTATGTTCAAGGAAAGCTGTCTAGGACATGTCGCGAAATTGTTGGAGCTCAAATTATCTAGGCAATTAGTGCATGAAATGGTCAATAGATCAGTCATTTGTGAAAAATGTTTCGAGGCCTATTTCAAGATGAATGAACGGTTTGAAACATTTGGAATATCGGAGCTCGCACTAATCACCGGCTTGAAATGTGGTGAATTACCTAGAAGATCTATATCTGACAGCGTCGTAGAGAAAACCCAGTTACGGGACAAAATGTTTACAAATAGAGAACGGATAACTTGTAGCGACGTGGAGAAGGTTTTCCTAAATGTGGCAACCCTAATGATTGTTACAAGCTTGGGTTGGCACTAATCATTAAAAGGGTTTTCAATTCGAGAGACCGAAATGTGGAGATTCATACTGAAACTCTCTATTGTGGACGACTCAGATTTCTTCAATGCCTATCCATGGGAACTGTGTGTTCTAAACTTCTCATCAAATCACTACTCCGTGGATGGGGGAGAAAGGTAGAATTGGCAAAGTTTAACGATTGTGATAGGATGTCCTATACAGTGTATGAATTCCCTCTTGCTATTCAGGTATATCTGTATATTTCATTCACAATCATTGTACTTCATTATTTTTGTCCGTATATGATAACCACTGTGTGACATGCATTGCAGTTGTGGGTGCATGAGGCAATCCCGGAGTTGGGAGCTCGATTCTCAAACAAGGTTAGTGATGACCTTTCGAGAATGTTGCGGTGGTATACCAAAAAACAGCCTCAATCGAGAACATATTCAGACTTCTTTTACCAACACATAAGCATTTACATATACAATTGCCCTTATGCTTGTAGCATAGATCAAAAATTTATTTGACAAGACACTTTTCCTCCCTTTTGCAGTTGCACTTGTGGGCATTACTGCGGCCTACCACTGAAGAAGAATTGCAGCCATACTTTGCAAATTTACTTCAATTGGATGTTGTTGTTGTTCTCATTCTCGACAATCTCGTAGTTCAATCAACTAAAATATAACATTGCCCAACATCTGGCGAACTGATACGCAATGAAGATAATAGCAACTGATCTAACAAATCCAGGAGAGGTATATAAATATACACACACAATGTGTCAAAAAATTCATTATCACTACACAACAAAATCTTATTCTGACATTCACACCCTGTCTCCACACTTAGCTAAGACTTCTCACATGCACTCACTTCCACACTTTTAGCTGGAGTTTCTTTCTTACAATCACTTAATGTTGGCACATTTAGCTAAACTCTCCTTCCCACATTCACTCTCCACACATTTAGCTGGAAAAGGTGTCCACACATTCAGTTAGAAAAGGTACTCATTTGGTTGGAAAAGGTAAGATAGAACATATGTAGATGTGTATCATGGAGACGGGCTCTCAGTGTCATGGACAAGGCCGTCTCAATATCTAAATCGTGAAAACCTTAAAGATCTTGTAGAATGCATAGATGCAAATCAACATGCTTCTTTGATTTGTAATAATTTTTAAGGATTTATTTTGGGAATTGTTTATAGAGGAGAAGAAGAACAATTTAGTAGTAAGTTGGTACACAAATTTATAATGATGGTTATAAATTGGGGCAAAAATAATGAACTTTGTGTCTGGTTTGATGATCATGTTGCTAGGTTTGGCATGTAAAAATTTTGACTCATTACTAGTTACCTTGCCATGGACCATCTATGGATATTGATTATCATAACGATCGTCTTATTTATCAGTACTTCAACGGCACAAAAAGAATTAGCATGAGAATGCTTTTTGAAACTTTCCACATGTGTGAAGACTAAGAAGATAAATTTAAGCCTGTGTTAGTTATGTTGGTAGAGTGTACATTGAAACCGACTACAAGGCAAATTGATTATAGAACTTTTGACATGGTTGAGCATTTTGATGAGTTTCTTGCATATCCATGGAGCCGTAAAGCATATTTTATTTTGTTAAATTCACTAAAAGAGTCACAATTGAAAAGAATACTAAGGATGCAATAGAATTAACAAATAAAATGTAAGTATGCATTACAAGGCTATCCACTTGCACTCCAGGTATTTTGTTCCATTTTTTTATTGATGTATTATTTATAATTTTTTTGTACAAGAAATAAATTATATACATATAAATTTATCTTTAATTATGTTGCAATATTAGATATATGAAGCATTTCCAAAGATTGGATAAAAATTTGGACGCCGCAGATACAAAACACCGTAGAGTCCACGAATATACAAGTGAAGGCCTAATAAAATACTCGAGGAATCTAATGTTAAGGAATTTTGGAATACACAAGAGGTATGGTTTTTTTTTTTTTTTTTTTGAATGTAGAATTACATTTTCATTTAATTATTAAAAAATTAAATTTTGCATATTGATTCTGATATTTTATTATGATTACAGATTCAAGTAATTACAGTGTTGTAGCCTACGGAAGAAGAATTACAAACATAGTGGTGCACAACTCATTCACTACCAGTTGACAATAAATATAGTATATTAGATGCCATTGTGAATGGATAATTAGATAATGTAGCACAACAAATCCCGGATAACATCCCTGTGAAAGAAACGACCATTCTTGGTACATCGAGAACTTCAACTGGAATTGGACCTAGTTCTGCTTCTGATGGCTCCAATTATATAACTAAAGACCGAATGGAAGAAGTGCTGGAAATGTACAAGCAACATATAATATTAGATGTATCCGATCTGTGTGACAACTTGAAGGCAAAAATTATTGAAGAATCAAGAGCTCATTACCATGCAATCCTTGAAAACCAAAAATAGCTCTTTGAACAACATAACAAATGGAAACAAGATTACATGCGGTCTGGTATGCATTCTTACATGGATAGTTCACTACTAAGTTTGTTTAACACATATAATGCTAAGGAATCACAAAAAAGAAGAAGCCCATTATCAGGTAATTCTTCAGAGGCAAGAAGAATTATTCTAACAGCAACAAAAATGGCAACAAGATCATTACCAGGACGTGCAGTCTTATGTTGATACTAGTTTAAGTTTTGTGAAATCTTATGTTGACGAAAAAATGAGAATTTGGAATCCAAAATGGAAGCCATTATAGGTTCTGTACAGCAAAATATTCCTATCCATGCAAGTCCAATTCTTAGTGATCAATAATAGGAGATATCAACGTCTCAACAAATTGAAAGTTTTGAAAGGTTAAGAAGAGAAAAGGAAAAGAAGGGAAAATACACAGTCTTCATCATCACAGGTCGTCCCTTAGCAAACTATCTCATGGACAAATACAAAAAAATAAGAGATTGGAAATTGAGGAATCAATCTGGGTAACAAATTGAATTCTACCTTACTAGTCCGAATGCTAAACATTGTTAGCTCAAATACTAAAATTCTCTTTATATTTATTCAACACTAACAGAAATTATGTTATACAGTGCATATTGGGATAATGATAATAGCAATGTCTATGGAAGAGACGTGCTGAAAACTTTAATGGGTCCAACAAAATATCTAAATATTACGGTGAGTAGAGTTTAGCAGTCACAATCAATTTGATTTCATAGTTAATATATCTAATATATTTTACATGTATTTATTTTATTGGCATATTGAGCTAGAGTGAAAGTTACTGAGGCATCGTATGAATGAAGGTTGTACTCTTGTCAATAAAGAATTTGCAATTTTGGACTTTCAATTTGAAGAGAAGTGTTCTTGTCAAATAAGGTGGCAAATTGACACAAAATGGGAAGCAGTAGAGGTCAACCGGATGGAACTCTCTTACAAGACTACATCAATGGTAGACTACCTATAGCTAGTTGTCCATGGATGCGGTGAAAGTATTTATTAATTCCATATTCATATCCACGCAATAGTCGTTATCTTTTTCTCGTCAATATTTTTGAATGGAAATTCCAGATATATGACTGCAATAATAATGTTCACATACCAGATACAGTTAAGGCACATGCAAAGTAACATTCAGTTTGGTTCGAGCATTATTGTTATCTTCAGTCCTTTCCAACGGACGAGATATAAAGAAACATGGAAACAAACAAATGAAGTAAGAGATTATATCTTATCTACCATGTGTGAACAATGAGTGAGGATTTCAACATATTGTTATTTATTATAATATTTAATTTCTCGTATATACTAATTTAGACTAACGTAAAACTATTCTTCTACAGGCCAAACTGTGTAATGTTTGTACTCAAAATATATAGAATGCTTCATTTCAGGACATCCAATAGAATCAGTTTCATTAGACATGATGACTATATATAAACGGAAGATTGTGGTAGATCTTTGTATAACGAATTCTTTCTTCATCCCTGTTTTTATTGATTGTAATGAATGATTGTCCATGATAACCAGGGTACACTAGAACATGCCTCTGTTAATTTAGTTAGGATAAATGTTTGTAGCTTGTTATGGTAGATAGTGAAAAAGTCATAATGGCATGTTCTCTTTCATTACATGACCGTTGATTAGATTTCACCACTGGTGTCCATATACCGTGTTTGTTGCTATATTTTTCTTTTTCTCGTACTCGTACTATGAATTGCTAAGCCTTACAAGATGAAAATTAGGTAAAGATCTAAGTAATGGGTTGATTTTTTAGAATGAATGTTTAATGAGGGGGCAATGTACTAATCATGGCAAAAAAAATCATCTCATTGTGAAATGTCTTTTCGTAGCTTTTACGACTAGAATGATTAAGCTTGCAAGGATTTTTAAAACCTGGCATGGTCATCAAACTTAAGAGTCATTGACCAAAAGCTCACTACAAAGATTATTTAGAAAAAAAAAATGGAAAGAAATCTGCACCTAAGATAAGGAAAAAAACTAATAATTATTTAGCTTCAAACAATTATTTGAGAGATTTAGATCTTTGAAAAGTGATTATTAGTCTAGTTGAGTTTTGGAGCTTGAAGTAATAAAAAATTTGGGGAATCCTTATTTGTTGAAGTATTAACTTACAATTAATGAAATTCGTCTAAACTAGAGAGAGCGGTGATAAGTATAAAAATTTAGCCATAGACACACAATGGGAAAAAAGTAAAAGGAATAAGTTTTGGCTATGTGAATTTTACTAGTGATGAAATGATAAATTTGACCACCAAGGGTCAAGAATTGAAACAATTTGTGGTTTTATAATGTTATACTTGATTCTTCACACATATACACAAATCAATTTTGTATTAGATAAGTTGATGTCGATTTGGTATTGTGACCTTAAAGTTGTTAATAAATTTAATACAATTATTCGAATCCTAAGATAAAATGGTAGGTTATCTAGTCGAAACTTTGTTCCATGTATGCTTGATTGTTAAGTTAGGTTATAGTTTTGCTTGTAGACAAACAAATGTTTAAGTTTTGGAATATTTGATAAATGCATTTTGTACACTTATTTGGACGTAAAAATGTAGACATTTTATAGTTCGTTTGATTAATTATAACATAATTCAATGTATGTTTCTTTTATTATGTAAAACTTGATGATTGAAAGTGAAATTGAATTAAAGAAGCAAAGAGAAAATGGTGAAGTCTAAAGTTTGAGGACACAATTGCAACTTTTCAATAATTGATTTGGATGACAAAACAATAATTGAAGATTACTAGAAGTCAATTAGATGTAATTAAATTAAAAAAAAAAAAAAGTGAAATAAGATCAAAGTATTTTCACAAATCAATTTCCAACTGTACAAGTTATGTTCCAAAATTTTTGCTAGAGATTGAAACTTATCTTTGGCATAGTAAACATTTGAATTGAAATCGTTATCTCTAGAAAAGTTGTAGGCCCTTTAGTTAGTTTTCTAATTCACTTTAAACTGTCTCAATTGAATATCGAAAGAGAAAGTCATAATAAAAATGTTGGCGACCGTGCATAACCAAAAACACATTCGCGTGAAGGCAACTTTCCTTATTCGATTGGAACTTTTCTCTTCTTGGATTCGATTTTAGACAAATTTTGAGGTATGTAAATACAAAAGAGCATAATACATTAAATTGTCCTCTCATACACCTATATTCATCAATTAACATCATCAAAGAAAGGCTAATCCATTGTTCTTGTAAGAATTACTGGACAATTACAAGTTTTGAAGAAATTGGAGTTTCAACCTTGAGTTTTTATGAGACAACAAGACAATATATCAGAGATTCATTCAAAAATAATTGAAGAGACAAGATTTCAAGATTCATCTTCTTCAATATCAATTTAAAATTTGAGTTATTTTCTTCCAACTAATTATGATTTCTTGTGATTTTGTAATGCTGGGTTAGGATTTTAAATACAATGTGTAACGCTCCGACCCCTTGTGGACCGGAACGCTACTTACTTTACTTAACTAACCGGTGGTTTAGTCATAGGAGAATATGTTTTAGTGGAAGCTTAATTTTTTACAATGATAATTTTAACAACAAACTTTCGAATACTTTAAATAAAACACTGAATAAAAAAAATAACGAAACGTAATTTATTTGAAGAAAACACAACTTTTTCTCACGTTCAGCGTTATTCAAATACTTTAAAGAAATAACATTGAAAACGTTCACAAAAATAAATCTAAATAACTTGTTCACCGGGTTTTCCATGGGCTCGTTGCACCACTCTCCATCTTTTCCATCATCCAGGTCCAAGGTAGAATCATATCAATTTGTAGAGAAAGGGTAAAACCAGTGAGTTAAAAAAACTCAATAGATATCATTGGTGCATTCATGATCAAGCTATACATTTCAAAGCTATAATTTTAGAAACCTTTTCATAGTAGGATTTCCAGTAGAATCCCAAACACGTAGAGTCATGAATTAACACGACGCCTCGACCGGAAGTACATGTCGTACCCGAAGGTACCATTAGATATGGAGGTGTATGCCATACCGGAGGTACTATTAGACATACAAACATTAACATAAATCTTCATTTGCTAGAAACTTATAACTAAACACGAATTAACACTTTGCACATCTACCTACCTTGATTGATGCTTTGAACCTTGTTGAAAAATACACTCCTTTGATGTTTAAAAAAAACACTCCATTGAGAATTGATGTTTGGAAAACACTTCTTGATAGCACCAAAATTTCTAGGAAAAACTAATTTTCCTCTCTCTCCTTTCTCTTTTTTCTAGACTTGAAAACTCTCTCTTTTATACTTAGAAGCTTTTGTCTTAGTGTGAAAAATGTGTATGCATTGGGGCCTATTTATAGGTAAAAATCTCACAACTTAAGGGCAAGTGAAGGGCCTAATATTCATTAATATGGGTGCCATTTATGTGGGAGTTATAGGCTTAAGAAGGTACTAGAAAATCGTGTAGGAATTTGACTTTTCATATTCCGCGCACTTCGGTTGATACTGCACAACTTTTAGTATTTCTATCATAACTTCTTCTCCCGATATCCAATTGAGGTAATTCAAAGTGAGTTGGAAAGCTAACTCAAAGAGCTACAACTTTTCTTTAGATATCATTTTCCAAATCAAATGTTTTCTATGTCGTAAATGGGTCTCAAATGAGACTAAAAATTTGAAGTATACTTTAGCCATCCAATATTCATGTCTTAGTGTCACTAAGGTATTAAATTATTTGGGGTTCTACATCCCCCACACCTTAATTAAAATTTCATTCTCGAAATTTACCTTCTGATTGGGCGAATAGTGTTGGATACTTGTTTTTGGCTTCCTCTTCCCCTTCCCAAGTGGCTTCTTCTATTTCATGATTATTCCATTGTATTTTGACCAAATGAATTTCTTTGTTCCATAGTTTATGCACCTTTCAATCCAATATCCTAATTGGCACCTCTTCATAGGATACGTCCTTTTGTACTTCCATGGACTGATAGTTCACTACATGATTAGGATCATGCACGTATTTCTTGATCATTAATGCATGGAACACGTTGTGCACTGTCGATAACCCAGGTGGGAGAGCTAACCGATAGGCTACATTTCCGACCCTATCAAGTATCTCAAATGGTCCGATATAGCGGGGTCGTAGCTTTCCTTTCTTGCCAAACCTAAGTACACCTTTCATCGGTGCCACTTTCAAAAACACTTTTTCTCCAACTTTGAATTCTATATACTTCCTCCTTGTATCTGCATAGCTCTTCTATAGATCCTGTGTTGCCTTTATCCTCGCACAGATCTTATCGATTACCTCAACTGTCCTTTCAATTATTTCTGGTCCCAAAACTCTCTTCTTCCCGACTTCATCCCAATGAACAGGGGACCTACATCTTCTACTATAGAGAGCTTTGTACGATGCCATCCCGATAGTTGCTTGGAAGCTGTTATTATATGCGAATTCTACTAGGGGTATGTATGACTCCCAACTACACCTAGATCCAAAACACATGCT